AAATACTAATGCATGAAAATCCTAACCTCAAAAAAATCACCCGTTAGAAGCAAAATTCTGCATCAAATCGCCATAAAGGTGATTAAGGGGAAACATTTTATTTCTATCTGAAAAAGGTTGTGTGTAAATCCCACGCGCAACTGAAGTGAAACTTCCTCTTCATATTAAATGTATAGGGTGATCCATCTTGACCTTGTTTTTTTTCTTTTCTAATTTTGAATAAAACACTTAAAACAGAACTGGATGTCAGAATCCTTATTATTGCCCAAAAGAAGAATCCCTAACAGAGTGACCGCAGGTTTGTGAAAAATTGTAGCAGAAAAGAGACTTAAAATGTATCAATATGTATCACTTTCTTTTTCATTTAAGTATCAAACCATCAGTATGGAATAAAACCAATAATTTTTATGAAAAACAATTTTCCAAAACAATTTGACATTTATTGCACGAGCAAATTGAAATTATTTCCCGAAAGCGATTTGCGTAATTTCAATTGCAGTTACACCTTGCAATTTTTATTGCCGAAAGCGATTTCTGTAAATCTGCAAAAAGGGCTTTCTGACTGTTTACACGGGAAAGTAGACTTTCGATTTCGCATTTTGACAGCACAATGCGTAGATAAAGAGCAAGCATTGCCACGATTAACCACACCTTTAGTCTGATAAACTATGTTTATCAACAGCTGATTTGTAGCTTTTTTCCATAACAAAAAAATTAATTGTAACGATAAATTGAAGGAATTTTATTTACTTATATGCGTTATGCCTTTCGGCAGCGGGCGGATTCAAAATTGGATGAATATCGTACAGCTAATGGCAGTTTACCAACTACCAGAAAAATTATCAAGCTTCCACCACGATACTTCGGTAACCGGTAAACCGATGCTAAAATAATTTTACACAAACAAAATACATGGGGGGGGATATTTACCGCAAAACTCCAGAGGCAAACACCGATGGCCTACCAACTGTCATTTTGAAGAGCAGTAGGATTGCAAGTTTTTGTGTGTGGGCACTTTGATGCCTTGATATGTGTGTATAAGCATTTGCCGCATGACGCCGCCAGACAACATGCTCTCAATTTCGGTGTTTAAAAACATTTAAATCTTAAAAAAAAACTTGCTGAATAACTTCCTAAAACGTCATCATAAATAGTCCAATAGGAAACAGATTCTTATTTTGATTTAATATTAATATTTCATCAATGTTACCACCAGCACACTTTCTTTCAAGTGAAAATAAGTGTTAAACTGTCAAATTGCCTGCAATAGATGCCAAGCAATAAGCGGTATATTTTGTGACATGGTTATCACGACATTGGTGTTTTCCTGTGGAAACAGGGCCTTACCGAGCACCGAGTTACCGAGTGCCAAGCCCTACATAGATCACAATACATGAAAGGTTCGTTCAGTGAACGACAATGAAGTTTTGGATGTACGTTGCCACAGGTGTACGACATGTTTTGCAATGCATACAAATTTACAAATTTTTTTCTTTTGTATTTGGAAAAGTATAAAAATTGAAAAAAATGTATCTCTCCAAAATTCATCGAAAAATGTATCACTTTTGATCCACTTGGATCAAAACGGTCAAACTAAAATAAGAAAATAAAATAAATAATTTCTTTGTTTTTGTTATTTTATTGCCTTATAACAATTATATTCAACAATGTTTATGAGCTTGAGGCCATTTTTAATGAAATAGCTATCACTTCTACAATTTTTTCAAATTATTGTTGCTTTTCCACAATAAGTTGAGTTAGATAATTTCATTCAAATTTTTGGCGGCAGACAAAACAAACCGTAAATAACGAGCGCTACCGCACCATGATAACAAACTTTTTGTTGCCTGAAATTTAAGCCCATTATGTCGGCAACATTTAGTTTCAGTAAGTTCAGAGTTCAGTAAGTAAGAGGAAAAAATAAGGCTAAAAAAAAACGAAATCAAAACTTTTAGTTAGGGCTAAGAAAAATAGCTAAATCAACAAATCAAACGTTTTTTGTCGCTATTATGACTTCATAACAGTGTGAGCGTTTAAGATAAAATTGATGCATTCTAATAAGGAAGAACTTTTTTTAGTAGCCTCACAAAATCTAGGCAGCCTAAGACAATGTTTTGATTCCACCTCATTGTTCTGTAAACTGTGGCGGTTCGGTGTGATATTTAGCCCCATCGTATGCAATATTTAGTATCCTCCCAATAAGCTTACCAAAGAGAAAGTTGTAGTAGAGTAGTATCAAGTTTTTACCCGTTAAGTACAACTCGAGGGTACCTTTCCTGGCCAAGTTTTCCGCAATGCCATTATCTGCATTATAAATATGGACTGGTACCCAAATGAGTCTGACCGGCGAAATTTCCCTTGCCAAAATCGAGCAGTTTAACAGACATTCGACTGCTTCCTTAATGCTTACTCTGCCTGATGCTGGTGCCCTGCATGAAAGAACCTTCCAACGACACTTCCGTCAAGCTTCTACCCATCCGTGTAGAAATTCACCGGTTTCGTCTCGCAACTACTGATTCGTTCATTTTTAAAGGTTATGTCAGTGTCGAAAGAAGCCTTTCTTCCTCGAAGATAAGTATTATGATGTTTGTCTTTATTTTTCATTCCATACCTGACCTAAAATCGGATTAAAAATTTTAAATTTGCAGTTCAAATTTAAGAAAAAGCTTAAAAAAACGTTAGAAGCCCCAATAAAAAAAGGTAAATCTAGCCGAAAAATAGCCAATATAGCAGCACTGGTTATCATGTCATATCACACCTCTGCATTTTTTTCTTTGAGGTTATGTGAAGTCAGATGTATTCGTTTATAAGCTAGCTATGATTCCCAACTTGGAAGCCAACATTACGCACTAAATTTTCGCAATGCTGGAAAGAGTAATTGAAAATTTAACCTATCTAAGGGACAGCGTACTAGCGGCCAACATTTGAAAAAAAACATTTTTTCAAGTGCTTGTAAAGATTCCGACATCCAGTTCTGTTTTAAGTATTTTACTAAAAATTAAAAACACCTCACCTTATTAAACATATGTGTAACTCTATGTTGCCGTTGTGCGACTGTAAAAACACGCATATCCGCGTGTTCGCATCGGCGGGGGGAAGGTTTATATCTAGGTTAGGACATTATAAGAGTTGCTACCTATTAAACTATTAAATTCAAATAAATCGAATGATTTGCTCCAATATGGGTATCAATCGAAATGGTCTTG